TCCCAAACCGTTTTCTTTCGTGACGTGCCAGAGGGCAGGCCGTCTTAATGTAGTGAAAGGGTTGAGGAAAGTAGAATGAACGATAGAGGTGATGGAGTGGTTTCAAAGACGCTGATGGAGGGGGAGAAACCCTCAAAAAGCGGCTGCGCACGCGCGCGCCGGGCGTGGACGCTCACGGGTTAGCCGGGGTATACGCCCCAAGCGGCGAATATCGGCGCAGGCGCGAAGTTGCCGCATCACGCATGCGTGCAAACGCGCGGCGTTCGAGAACGGGAAGGAGCTGTGTCTGTCTCCTGAGGGGTAGGCAGGTGCTTCCGAATCGCGGAATGAAGGTGCTGTAAGCTGGAGACACACGGAAAGAACCCAGAAGCTTCGAGCGGTTGCAAACCACTGCATTGAGCCAACGCCTCCTGCTCTACTGAAGGTGATTCCACAGCTTTGTGAGGAATAAGTTAAGATGAAGTCAATGAAGTTTTCTGCAAATTGCAAACATTGTAGCAGGTGTTACCAATTTTATTAGTTCGACCACGACTTCACTCCTGTATTTTGAAAAGCTGTTTGCCACATTGAACATAACAATAATGGGAAAACAGATTTTACTCAATCTGATATAATTCTAGCACGAAACAAGGAAACCTAGCATTTAATACCACCCGAAAATATACCATTTCTGGTAGGCTTTTTTAGAATATTGAAATTTGATTATAGGTGGGCGCGGTGGCTCACGTCTGTAATCCCAGCACTTTAAGAGGCCGAGGGGGGCGGATTCACCTGAGCCTAGGAGTTGGAGACCAGCCTGGGCAACACAGTGAAAACTCGTCTCTGCAAAAAGTACAAGAAATTAGCTGGGTACGGTGGCAGCAGGCCTGTAGTCCCAGCTACTTGGGAGGCTGACATGGGAGGATTGCTTGAGCTGGGGAGGTTGAGACTAGGCAGCCGGGATCACACCACTGCACTCCAGCCTGTGGGACAGAGACCCTGTCTCACAAAAAAAGAAAAAAAAAATGTATTTGCCACATTGTAAGGGGTGAAAGTTAGAAACGACTAAACTGTGTGATTTTATCCTTTTCAATTCAATCATTCTATGATTCCTAGATATTTATTTGGGAATAAAGTATTGTGAAAATTCTCATGACTTAGTAAACTGTGCATATTCAAGGAGGTAAAGGAAGACAAAGGTTTTTAAAATTAAAAAAAATGAGAATTACATAATTGTTTTTAAACCATTATCCTTGGCTGCAAAGATCAGGAACAAGGTAACACCAGTCAGAGACTGGACAGGAAGTTGCTGGGCAGATGTTTTTACAGAAGTATTTTTTATGTAAGATTGTGACTTTTGGCTGGGTGCCATGGCTCACACCCATAATCCCAGCACTTATGAGTGGATCACCTGAGGTCAGGAGTTTGAGACTAACCTAGCCAATATGGTAAAACGCTGTCTCTACTAAAAATACAAAAATCAGCCAGGTGTGGTGGCACGCACCTGTAATCCCAGCTACTCAGGAGGCTGAGGCCGGAGAATCTCTTGAACCCGGGAAGTGGAGGTTGCAGTGAGCCAAGATGACACCACTGCACTCCAGCCTGCGTTCTGTCTAAAAAAAAAAAAAGAAGATCGTGGCTTTTGCAGTTTTTTGTGATAGTTTTTGTTGTCAGGTGTGCAAGCATGAGACCACTCTCTTCGTGACCTCTGAATCTGTTTTTCAGGGCTTTAAAAAATATATATTAGTGACTCCCCCGCTTTTGTTTAAGATCCGGGGCTGGAATGCAGTGGCTATTCACAGGCAAGATTGTAGCCCAGTACAGCCCCTAAGTTCCTGAGCTCAAGCAGTCATCCTGCCTCAGCCTCCCAAGTAGCTAGGACTGCAGGTGTGTACCACCGAGCCCATGTAATTCCATTTTGATTATGACAGCTTGAACAGAAATAAGGCATTAAGTGGGGTAAAAACATTTATAATGTTTTAAAGGTTAGTTTTTCAGGAGATTAATATTTCAGAAGAGGTGGGAAATTAGGAACAAAGAGACTGGGGAAAAAAAGCAGTTCAAGCATAAATGATAAGATTCTAGATTAGGATGGTGACAAAGTAAGGGAGTATTCTGAGAAAAATACTAAGGAGCTGATAGGATAAAGTATAATAACTCTGTAAAACTGTCTTTACCATCCTTGAAAGTATGACCCATATCTGTGGTATTCATCACTGTCTATGTCAGTATGTAAAAATGATGAAACACAAACAGAAGTGACTCCAAACATGACTTCCGAAATAACAATAACATAATGACAGGATTGGAGGTGTCCAGTAGATGATTTAGTTCTGAATTAGTGTGGAATGAAAAAAAACTCAAGGAGTAGGCAGTGGTTGAAAACACGAGGTTAAGGCACAGGAGAAAGTTTAGCACATGAGAGACATTTGGAATTTAGTAAGGGCATAGTATATCACCATCAAATAGTTATTAAGGACCTATTATTTGCTAAACATATTGCTACCCCCATGATTCTCAAACATTGGTGCCCAGAAGAATCATCTAGAGAGCTTGTTAAAAACCAGATTTCTGAGCTTCATCCTATGAATATGCATTCACCAGCACCCAGGTGAATCTGAGGCAAGAGACTAACATTTTGAAAACACTGTGATTG